CTAGATGATTGTATGTAAACAAGAACTGCAAGCATAGGCAAGCTGAAACAATTCTATCTACACTGTGTCAAAGAAATGTGAATTCTACTTATAAAACGAGCGCGCGTGCAGGCGAGCAGTGTGTCTGTGTGTGTGTGTGTGTGTGTGTGTGTGTGTGTATGTGTGTGTATATGTTTGTGTAGAACGCATCTTCCTAGCTTACAAATTCGATGCTGCTGTATATACAGTGTCTAAAAATTATACTCATTTTATGCAACTTTTTTATTCAATAACTTTTTAACGAACAATGACCGCCGGCTAAAATCTTCAGAAGGTCACTCAGGAGGATGACCTCTGTCATATATGTCAAGGTCAAGATCATCGGAGCTGGGTCCGTTATACTAAATAATTACCGTTTTCAGTTATTGCGAGCAAGTTTCAATATACAGCTGAATGTTTAAACAAATATTTTCGGCTACAGTATCAGATATATTATTTCATGTCGGCGAATTATGCAATGTCTCGTCCGGATGGATACTTGTAGTAGCATTCCGCTGCGTTATCCTCAATAGGTTTTGTACTGAAAAATTTGAATTAGGCGCCGCTCTCCACTTGGCGCGCCTATCTGCACTCGTCCCTCATTGTTTTCATGTTGCGTGATACCTCAACACGTGTTTTTTCACAATTCTCAGTTTTTTAATTTTTAGGTTGTTCAACATGGGAAAATCATCTCACAAATCGAAGAAAAGAAGATATTCATCCTCTGATCGACTGACGGAATTAGAAAACAAGATTGCTCGTTTAATCAATATGTTATCATATAGGCAGAGAGAGGTTAGGGCGCCTACGCGGCCCGCCTCTCCTGTCCCTAAGTCCGTTATCTCGCCCCAGGTTGCCAGGTCCACTGGCTCAGTGGACGCTTTTTCGCTGAATTGGAATGAATTCTATTTTTATGCCTTTCCCCCCTTTGCTCTAATTCTAAGAATTCTGAGAAAAATCATTAGTGACAGAGCTGTAGGGGTGGTGATAGTTCCTTGGTGGCCGGCCCAGCCTTGGTTCCCTTTATTTAACAAACTCGTAATCGACCAGCCGATTCGTTTTGAACCGAATATTGATATGTTATCATCTCCTTTCAGAGACACCCATCCGACCTGGAACAGAATTTCCCTGGCCGCGAAATTATCCGGCAAGCTTTTATTCGCAAAGGAACACCACCAGCAGCCCTGACAGCAACGCTGGCATCAATCACGAACGCTACATTGAGTCAATACTCCAAGCCCTTAAATCGGTGGTGGAGTTTCTGTATTCAAAACGAGATCAACTTTTTTACACCGTCAGTCTCTGCATTCTTAGAGTTTTTGTCCTCTGTGTTATCACAGGTAGGTTCACGCAACCTTGAATATCTATCGCTCGGCCATATCTCTTGTTTCGTCGAACGAGGTGGGTTCTCACCCTTTGATTACTAGATTCTGCAAAGGAGCAGTGGTTCTAAAACCGCAAAGACCCCGCTACGACTTTGTCTGGGATCCTAGACCGATGATAGATTACCTATCATCCTTGTTTCCACACGAGGAACTTTCTCTAGAAATGTTATCTAGAAAGCTTGTGTCGCTTCTTGCCTTGACAATAGCTCAAAGAATGCAGACTCTGGCGGTTATTCAACTGTCAAATATTTCGATGGCTGATTCGTTAGTCGTTAAGATCCCCACTAGACTTAAGACATCAAGGGTTGGTAAATCTCAGCCTTTGCTTTACTTCAAACCTTTCGCCGAGAAACCGGAACTTTGCATCGTCTCTCTGGTTAAAACTTACCTACAGATCACCGAGGATCTGCGTCAGGAAGGCTGTGACTCTTTCTTCATCTCTCCCCGATCTCCACACAGCGCAGTTTCCTCCCAGACACTAGGGCATTGGGTTAAACTAGAACTGAAAGCTGCTGGTGTCGATATATCTATTTTTTCGGCCCACTCTACTCGTCACGCTTCGACATCGTTCGCAGCAAACAGAGGCTTATTATAGACGAGATCAGACGCACAACCGGTTGGAGCAGATCCTCAGAGACCTTCGCTCGTTTTTATAATCGCCCAATTATTAAGGAACCTTCTTTTCTGTCTACGATCTTAAATAGATCATAATCTTGGTAGATTATCTCCTCTTTTCGTTATATAGGAGGGTATTTCATAGATTTTATTTTAGTTTTTTGTTCCCTCTTATGGAATACATTTCATTTTATGTATTTTCCTTTTATTTTGGAGTTATCTTTATGGCATGTTTTTTGTTGCAAGGATATCCTTGAAATAAATTTACTCTTATAGTATTTATTTCAGCTCTTTCTTATAGTATTTATTTCAGCTCTTCTGCAAATCTGCGCTTTAAATATCTACGTGTATCCATCCGGACGAGATTGCATAATTGAATAATTAAACGAACTTACCGTGAAGTTCGATTACAATTATGCTGTCTCGTCCGGATGGAAGACTTTCCCCCTTTCCCCCCCTTTTTAGCAGATTTGCGAGCTTTGAAATAATGAGGGACGAGTGCAGATAGGCGCGCCAAGTGGGGAGCGGCGCCTAATTCAAATTTGTTCAGTACTTTAAAACCTGTTAAGGATAACGCAGCGAAACGCTACTACGAGTATCCATCCGGATGAGACATTGCATAATTCGCCGACATGAAATAATATATCTGATACTGTAGCCGAAAATACTTGTCTAAACATTCAGCTGTATATTGAAACTTGCTCGCAATAACTGAAAACGTATTGACTGAATAGAAACTTCCTACAGAAATCTTTCTGTTCCGAGTCTTCATTCTATCCTCGTTCTTACCAGACTATGAAAAAATATATTTTTTCTTTGATCAAGGTGACTGCGAACGTCGCGTGTCATGTTCGCAGACACGTGACCTCTCCTTGCCATTATTGTTGCCATTATCGTCAAAAAAAAAAAGAATTTACGAGCTACTACGAGTATCCATCCGGACGAGACAGCATAATTGTAATCGAACTTCACGGTAAGTTTGTTTAATTATTCTTGTCGCTAAACGGTTGTACAAACTGAAACTTTTTTTCCCATGCAGCCTTTGTGTTTCAGAACACGTTGTGTTTCAACGAAAGGAAAGGAGGGAATAGAAGCCCAATCCCGGGTCCAAACCGGGACGGAAATCTCAATTCCAAGTTCGACTCAATTGTCGTATCTGTTGCGCGAGTCTCGCTATGAGAGTCGATTAGTGAGCGAGTCGAATCTCGATGTCGATATACATTCTGTAACATTCATATTAGTCTATATCTAAAAGTATTCGTGGGAGTGCGTTACTGTTACTGTCGGTGCAGAAGTGCTAGCTCGAATTGTGACGTAATTCGCGTGTAGTTGTGTAATTCAACGCTATCGTCGAAATGAAAAGGTTTCATCGCTCGACACGCGATTACTGCGTACGTGATAACAAGACCTGCGGTTAACTGGACGCCGAGCACTTTCCAAGGTAATAAGCGCGTAATAAATATCATGGTGGAAGCTATACTTAAACATGAAAGGTGTCTCGACCTTGCTCTTTTTGAGCACATTACATATTGACCTCATTGATGTTCAAAAGAGAAAGCAATTAAAAATAATGTTGCGTTTGAGACGTGTTCTGTTAACTTATACAGATTGATAGAGATTGATATTAAATGAATAGAGTTAATAAAGAGCTCGAGTCAAACCGTTGCTACTTCAAACATTTTCGAAGCAAAAATCAAAGAGCTTAAGAGGATTGGAAGGTCAGATTGCCTGAAAATCGTGCTTGTCCTTCCACAATTTTTTATGACAAACTGAATGAATATACGAAAATGTTATTTTGACGTGTTTTTATACACGTATAAAGAGAAGAAAAATATAATTTTGATGATCAAATATTCAATATAAATGTATACCTATATGGTACACGCAGTTAAAATATATTTCGTTTTTCTTTTCAAGGTCGTCATTTTGCAGTAATATCTTGACTCTCGATGATTTAGTTGAGCTAAATTTTAAGTAAAAAATTTCCGTAAGCTTGTCGTTATCATGTGAACCACTGACTCGTGAAAATATTTAATTTAAAACTCGTGAAAATATTTAATTTAAAAATATTAATTTTTTTACTATAAAAGAACTGAAAATTTAATAATATTCCATTAAGATATTTGCAATTTTGTTAACTTTTATTCAATTTCTATTATAGTGGTAACGATAACGATAAGCTTACGAAAATTTTCTACCTACAATTCAACTTAATTAAACCACCGAGAGTCAAGATGTTACTGTAAAATAACGATTTTGAAAAGAAAAACAAAATGTATTTTATACTGCATGTACCATACACTTATATTGAATATTTGATCATCAAAATTATATTTTTCTTCTCTTTATATGTTGTATAAATACACGTCAAAATAACACTTTCGCATATTCTTTCAGTTTGTCATAAAAAAATTGTGAAGAAACAAGTATGATTTTCAAGCAATCTGATCCTCCAGTTCCTTTAAGATGTTCGAAGCAACTCCACTCAGAAAAAAAATACAATCACTATAAGAAGTTTCCTTTCTAAGTAGAACAATTTTCGAAAATTATAATAACTAGTTTCGAAATTATAATGTTCCGAAAATTTTTAAGAATCACCTCTTTCTCTCTAAGATATTCAAGGGTAGCAGTAATTTGATTAATTTTTCCTTGTATAATACAATTAGATTAGTGGAATTTTTTATGTAATGCATCATGAAATGTATACATATATTGGTTTATCATTTATTAATTATTCAAAGAACTAGTATATAGAAATAGTAATTTCTCTCTGCTATATATTGTTATACATTGATTGATTATTAATGTTCAGAATCGGAAAAAAAACATCTAAGAATCTACAACAGACATATTAATAGAGAGTAGCGACCTAATATATCCTACGCATTGATGTCGTTATGTCGATCTGTATTATCTTGAGTTTTATTCGTATTCAAAATGTCCAAGTAGGAAAATTGTTAAAAAATATCAAGAGATTTTCAACGTTTTATCTGATCTATAATTGTCGTATCGCAAGCGTACAACTAACATTTACGATTTAATTACACGGTAGCGATAATTGAAGTATTATCGTGGAAAATTTTAGTTGACATCACTGATATTATGCTGTCACATTGCAGAAATTATCTGTTGCATAAGGTACGTATATGTAGAATGATGGCAATAACGACCGTCGCGGAATAAAATGAAGTCTAATCCCGATTTTCAACTTGGTCGCATTCTTGAATTAACACGTGCGAAAACTGACTCTCACACACCGAAAAAATTGTATTCTCTCCATACAAAAAGACGACCCGAGTCGAAATTTTGGCTCTATGTTAAACCTTGAATTCTATAACGCAGCTAAGTTAGCAAGATAGATTTAATTCTAATGATTTATTCCTACTTTGACTCTAATGATGTTTGAAATTGGCCTTTCACTTTCTTTAGCGTCAAAATAACATTGAATGGAATAGTAAGTCTGAAGATAGGATCAAAATTTTGTCTTGATATATACTTTTCCGTCACTCTCTTAACAGACATTTTTATAGAATAAGAGTATTTCCTTCTCTCCATAGATTCTATGGGATATCCTTTGAAACGAAGAAAATATTTTTTCCTTGATATCTAACTTTTACGACAACTATCGTTCGTTTCTTGCGACGAAATACTACTTGTTTCTTACGACTGTTAATGCAAGTCATACGATTTTCACGTGCTCGCAAAGAATTGGTTTTATATAACTAGTGAACAGCGTATAATACATGGATCAAAAAATGACAAAGTGGCTGGAAGAAGAAGATCTTATCGAGCTAGCGGAAATATTTATGAGTAAATTTCTAAAAGGTAGATATTAAGAATATGATGTTAACTTTTTTAAAGTAAATGTAATTATAATTTCCAATGCTACTGATTAAAACTTTTTTAATTCTTGTAAATATAGTATCAAAATTTTGCTTGCAATGTAGTGCGTTAGTTACCTCTAGTATGTAATCTCATAAATTTAGAATATCTAGTATTAATATTTAGAATATTTAGAATATTTACAATATTTAGAATATTTAGAGTATACAGTACTAGTCTTTTACATCTGATATTTAGAATATATAGAATTAATCTTTTACATAATTCTACTCTTAACATAAGAGAATCTTCTAGATGCTCATTTTAGAGGAGAATATTCTTGATGTAAGTGGAATTTTCTTAAAAGGAGAATACAATTTTTTCTTGTGCGTATTCCGTTCATACTTAATTCATCATTCGATTGTATGACGTTGCTTTACGATCAGTATCGATTCGATTTACCTGTGTTGATCGACGCTCACTGCGGACGCTTCAAAGTACACCATTTCACGGCGACCTTGTGACTCCGATATTCGTTCTACTTATATCTTGATTCTTTCAATATTTCTCCGTGCAGGTATACCTTATTTGAACTGCTCGATCGCGATAAGTCCGGCGAAGTTTCACTTTCGTGGAAAGGACGCACTCGCTGATCGCCGTTGGCTACTCGGATCCGGAATAGGCGCTTCGACGATGAGCAATGGATGGTCGAAAGTGAATTGGTCAACGTGTGGATGACGGGCCGAGTGTTTACTTCTCAGATGTATCGTCAGCTCGACATTGGGATGACGACGCGGCGAGAATATGCTCGGAATTGCGACGAGAGACACCTCCACCTCCACCTCAACAGATCATGGACAAGACTAACTGAATAACCGGTGAATAGGAACCCGTCGGAGCGCGCGACGTAATGCGTCGAAGTGGTGGCCCACTGCATTGCATTATATGCATCCGTCGATGCTCCCCGCCGATTTATGGCAAGTAACTTCTCCTCCTTGGCTGGCAATGTTTCCCTTTTCTCTGTGAGGTAAGTAGAATGCGCCGTACCGCGAAACCTGTTTCCGTTCCCGCAAATGCTGGTTCTTGTTAATCTTATTTTGCAGAAACTGCTTGGAGCAATGGAGCAAGAAGATTCTTTGCACTTTCATTCTTGAATCGTAATGAAAAAGAGTACATCACGCATCGGTGTTACGTGAGATGCGATACGCACCTGTTTAAACGAACAAGAGAAAGAGAGAAGAAAGAGAAAGAGAGAGAGAGAAGGGCGAGAGAAATATATTAATCTGTTTCGCATTCGGTAATTTCGGCGATCAATGTTTCTCCCGACAATCTTCTGAGCTCTCAGTATCTTGTATAATAAGTACAAAATATTGAAATGTAATTAATTCAATAATACTGCACATTGCTAGGCATCGATGCGTTACTTCTATTTTTATAACTTTTTTGCTAACATTAGTGTGGAAGCGGAAGTTGTGTCAAAATTCGTGTTTACGTTTTAAATATTTATTTTTGTGTTCATCTTGATTCATCTTTCGTAAATGCAAATATAGTCATGTTGTTGACATTCGCCTATACAACACAATATCCAAAATCGAGATATGAAACATCTAAAAGGCATCTTATGTTCTAACATCTGAAAAAGAATTTAAAGACGTTTTAAATTCTAATTTTGGACATGACACTTGTGTTATTCTTGTCGTGGATGAGATTACCAGTGTCAATTTAAAAGAAAGTTTTACCGTTAAATCTCACAAACAATTTAGTCATTCACGATATACGCACGAGTTACGCAGTCGTACTTGTATTATCAAAAAATTATTTAGTTATTATATAATTACAACTTCTTATCAAATGTGTATGCATTATCATTACACAATAAATATCCAAAGAAAAACAAAAGAAAAAAACTAAATAAAAATAATAAAAAAGAAAAAAACTAAATAAAAATACTCTCTTCGTGTCCAACAAGTCAGATTTGATATTTGTTATGAAGCTGGGTAATAAATAAATAAATAAATAAATATATATATATATATATGTATGTGTGTGTGTGTATGTGTGTATCCATTGTTGTTATCGTTGTATGTCAAATGAGATGGTAACAATCATAATCGATCAATCAGAAGATGTATGATCACATGGATGCCAGTCTCTGATTTAAAAATGTAAAAGTTGTCTATGGATTATAAACGGTTATACATTCAATATGTGTAGATATTTATTAGTACTGTCAATAACAATGTTGCGAGGTCTCGGTATTATATATATAGACAGGAAATAAGAAACACACAAGCGATCCTTAATTTTATATTGCGCAAAAGAACGTAAAATGCTGGAAGGAAAATAGCTACTTATTGAAGATGAGGAACGTAATATCGATAAAACAAACGTATCGTAAAAGTCACAGAAATAGTAAAGTGATCCATTAATCATCATGATTAACAGTGCAATGAAACATTGCATAATACAGCATAATTGAACTTGATGTAATTATCTTTCTTTTCTTTTGTTTTTATTTACGAACTGCCCGAACTTTGCGATTTGCGAATCTAAAGCTCGTATTAATAGTTGTTATTTGAATGTTATCTTAAATGTGCTATTTCAAATGAGATACTTAAATTACGACGCGATACTTGTCACTGTGTTACTTAGGAAAAAAAATGACTGACGTTGGTATTTGACATATATTAACCTATCCGCTCATTAGACTACTATGATCTATCGCGTATTCGACTTTGAGAATTATTGAAGGTCGCTACGAAAAAATGACGCCCATGAATCTGCGTGTTGTACTAATAACATATGTATGTTCTGAAAGTATCATATCTCATTTGAGATAGTAAGCAAAAAAATCAATAATGATACGTTATTTAGCAACAATATTTACATGTGACGTTTTCTAATATGTAGTTTTTATCAATATTGATATGTTGTATCAACATTATATCAAAGTGGAGTATCGAAACCATGTAAAATAATTAATATTCATATATGCTACTTAATATTCATATATGCAATAATGC